CCTTGGTGTCATCCTTTGCATCCAGTGTTGGGGCGTATGCACTGATGAAAAGGGCATGACGTGAGTGATTGAGTGGGACTCGGAGCTTCATGAGGCACGCGTTGATCCCAACAGGCATTTTAGTTAGCCTGTGTAGGAAGAGTTGGCGGATGGCAAAGCCAACTCCATAAATGCGGTTTCTCCCGGCAGCAGGCTTACCCTTCCAGAAGTTGTATCCAGAGCCGGGACTCACTAATGGCTGCTATGTCGATGTTATACCTAGCCAGCTCTTTTGCCACAAGGGCAGTTCTTCTTTCAGGACGCTCATTTGTGCCAGTATCCAGAAGGGTCCTGACATTCCATGCAGCGACCAAAAGAGGTTGTATAGTTTGTTTTTGTTTTGATCTGTGATTATGATTGTGTTTTCGACTGCAGAAGGATGACCTTACTGGGTGTGGTTGCTCAATCAGGTTGGTTCTTTAGGCAGGCTATATTTAGGGCACCTTTTCTAGCCCCCTCCCCGTGTGGGGTGAGCAGAGTGGCTTCTTGAAAGGCTGCTTAGTAGCAAAGACAGGATCGGATTGCACTGCTGCCTAAATCCCAGTGCATAAACGACCATCCTATCTGTGCCGCCCATGTGTAGAGTTGTGACTAGAGACTCCCGGCAGTCACCTCTGCCAGTCCCCGTCGCCACTCGTCGGTCGCCATAGGACTTTTGGGGGTACAGGGGTTTTGATGATGATAAGGAGTATGATGAGCTGGATGATGGCTGTGCAGGAGCTGATTTACTTGGTGAGGCAGGCCGCAACCACACATCTTGGCTCTCCCTTTTCCTGATCCAGTGGTGCAAGTGTTGCAACGACTGGGGAGAGGGAGAGTTCCATTGGACTGCCAATAGCCCAGTTTGTTGGGTTTCTCCTTAGAAGCCTGTCCATCATGCATTGCCTTGTCCACCGGTATAGTCGCTGGGTTCCCATGGTGGTCACCTCTTCCGCCTATACCGCCGTTGGGGTCTTGTTGGAGCTCTCTAAGCATGTCTGCCTTATAAAGTAGATTTTTCGTTTGGGGTTTACTCCCATAGTCTTATACCTGCCAAGGTTAGTCCGCAAGACAGCGAGACAGTGGTTGGTAGGCGCCAGGACGTGTCTACATGCCAGTTGACCGATGCGCCGTCCCTCTGGGGCCCACTGCAACTCCAAGATCCCCTGCTGATCTAGCATGGGCACACGAGGCACCTAGTTCCCATGTGTTGCCACGAGGAAGCACAGCAGGAGTCATGGTGGTGAAGAGTTTGTGTTAGTGTTTACTGGCAGGGGAAGACTTATGCAAGTTGCTACCCTGTTTGCCACGTGGGCTAGCTAGTGGCGGTAGCTGAAAGCGAGAGGAAGCAAGCAAGCAAGCAGTGCTTGCACCTTAACACTAGCATAATGCTGCCACACAAGACGCATTACACCAACCTGTGTGCACTATCACACATACACACACACATTTAACAGTATAGTATCAGACACATTATTATTATTATTAGTAGTAGTAATAGTAGTAGTAGTAGTAGTAGTAATAATAGTAGGGCATATGGGTAGAGAATTCAAAACGTTGATCAAGGCAGCTTCACTCCTCTAGTGTTCACAACCTCTGGTAGGATGGGACCAAGTGCAAGATGTTTCTACGCCTCTAGTGAACACCTGTTTAGTGCTCAGTACCAGCCTCTAGTGAACACCTGTCAGTGCTCAGTACCCGCCTCTAGTGAACACCTGTTAGTGCTCAGTACCAGCCTCTAGTGAACACCTGTTAGTGCTCAGTACCCGGCTCTCGTGAACACCTGTTAGTGCTCATTACCAGCCTCTAGTGAACACCTGTTAGTGCTCAGTACCCGCCTCTAGTGAGCACCTGTTAGTGCTCAGTACCAGCCTCTAGTGAGCACTTGTTAGTGCTCAGTACCCGCCTCTAGTGAGCACCTGTCAGTGCTCAGTACCTGGGTCTAGTGAACACCTGTTAGTGCTCAGTACCGGCCTCTAGTAAACACCTGTTAGTGCTCAGTACCGCCTCTAGTGAACACCTGTTTAGTGCTCAGTACCAGCCTCTAGTGAACACCTGTCAGTGCTCAGTACCCGCCTCTAGTGAACACCTGTTAGTGCTCAGTACCAGCCTCTAGTGAACACCTGTTAGTGCTCAGTACCCGGCTCTCGTGAACACCTGTTAGTGCTCATTACCAGCCTCTAGTGAACACCTGTTAGTGCTCAGTACCCGCCTCTAGTGAGCACCTGTTAGTGCTCAGTACCAGCCTCTAGTGAGCACTTGTTAGTGCTCAGTACCCGCCTCTAGTGAGCACCTGTCAGTGCTCAGTACCTGGGTCTAGTGAACACCTGTTAGTGCTCAGTACCGGCCTCTAGTAAACACCTGTTAGTGCTCAGTACCCGCCTCTAGTGAACACCTGTTAGTGCTCAGTATCCGCCTCTAGTGAACACCTGTTAGTGCTCAGTACCAGCCTCTAGTGAGCACCTGTTAGTGCTCAGTACCAGTCTCTAGTGAACACCTGTTAGTGCTCAGTACAGCCCTTTCTCTGTAACACCATCTGGCGCCAACACTTGATGACATAACCCATAGTGATGAACCCAACCCAGCGAGGAGCTGCTCTTACCCAGGTCACACTTTATAACAATATTAAGAGAAGACTGTCCGTGTATCAGTCACAGCTTCACTACTCAAGACTACAGTACCCACACAGACTGTTCTTGTTGTGATAATAGCCACTCCCTGCTAATAGCTGCTCCCTGCTAATAGCCGCTCACTTTTAAGTTAGGTTAGGTTGTGGTTGTGGTTGTGGTTGGGTTAGGTTGTGGTTGTGGTTGTTAATGATGTTGTTATTGCCGTTTTGCGGTTGTTGTTCCTGCCATTATCTTCCTGCAGACACACTTATCACCTAGAGTTACTTGTATGAGAAGTGGTTCAGGAGTGTGTGATGACTCTTAGCAGGTAGAAGGCAGCTACCAAACAGGGAGGTACTGGGAAGATATTGGAAACATAATGTGTTGTCTAATGGTAGACCCTGCTGCCATATGTGACCAAGTCCCAGGTTGATGAGATGACATTCTGCGTCATTTACACACATTTGTAGGGTCTCAGTTGTTTCTCTTACTATTGACTACACAACACACTGTACATACAGCGTTTCTCACCATTGATTATTTTTTCTTTATTATCATTATTACAGTGTTATTATTATTATTGTTGTTATTATTATTTTATTTTACTTTTTATTACAAATTTTATTTACTATGAATTACTGTATTATTATTATTATTATTATTATTATTATTATTATTATTATTATTATTATTATTATTATTATTATTATTATTATTATTATTATTATTATTATTATTATTATTATTATTATATTATTATTAAATTTTCGCCCCCTAGGCCCCGATGTGGGCTAATACCCTTAAAAAAAATTAGGATTTTGTTATCCTGTGATGGTGTGAAGTATGGACTTGAAACAAAGGTTTTCGAAATAATAATAATAATAATAATAATCATAATAATAATAATAATAATAATAATAATAATAATAATAATAAATACAAAAATGAAAAAATCGAGATTAAGAAACGATATATATTATGATGTCAAAGTAAGAGGGTCTACCATTAGGCAAAACGTGATGCTTCCAATATCTTCTCAGGCTGGAGTAGACGAATGCGTGCTCCACTTTCTGGGATATTGTGTCTATAAAACTGCTTCTTTAGAGGTGGTTGTTACTGTGTCGTGTTGGGTCATCATTTTATCATAGATTCAGGCGTGTCCACTGAAACGTAACACTTATACAGTGCCCGGCATCATAGTGTTGACGGACGTGATGATGACAAGTGTACTTCATGAACACGTGTTTAGATGCACGTACAGTTGGTGTACACTCGTGCACTTCTCTGTCTATGTTATAATGAACACCACTGATAGTAAGTCTCTTAAGAAGTTTGCTGTAAGACGTCATATTTTTTTTAATTAGAAATATTTTATTACTGAACATCGTCAACAATATAAAGATGTGTTCATAACAGTTACAGAGTTATGTTATGTTGCCTCCGTGACCGCTGTCAGTCACTGCTCTTATACACAAACTGTGGAAAAGTCGCTCATTTGGAATTCAACTGGAAAATACATAGTAACTACAACAGCTTCCTGGCCCTCCGTGTGCCAGAGTTGAACAGTCTCATCTGGAAGTTAAGCGAGACGTTAGGTCAATGTTTTTTGTTTGTTTTTCCTCCGGACATTAGCCCAGAAGCCACAGGTCAATGCCCATCATCAGGCCCAGGGGGTAATAATAATGATCTTAATAATAATAATAAATAACCATAAATAAATAAACATAAAGATCAATAGTGAGAAACAATATTTGTATGTTGTGTTGTGTTGTGTTGTGTTGTGTTGTGTTGTGTTGTCAGGGAAACAACTAAGACCCTACAATTGTGTGTGAATGAGGCAGAAAGTCCGCTCATCAACCTGGGACTTGGTCACATATGGCAGCAGGATCTACCATTAGACAACACATTATGTTTCCAATATCTTCCTCCCTGTTTGGTAGCTGCCTCCTGCATTAAGAGGATGGCTGTTCTCGTTCGACCTTTGTGTTAAACCTGACCACGTCACTATCTTAGAGAGTAATACACGCCGGTCACCTCACACTCCCTCCCGTAGTTGAAACTGTATATTGCGTGTTGTTGTGTGTATGGTGCGTGTTGTTGTGTGTATGGTGCGTGTTGTGGTGCGTGTTGCTGTGTGTATGGTGCGTGTTGTTGTGTGTATGGTGCGTGTTGTTGTGTGTATCAGTGCACCATTATGTAGCTAGGGTCACCTCGTGTTAAGTTAAGCATCATTAGTTTAACCAAAGTTAATCTAATCTTACCAAAACAGACCTAACGTAACTTAACTAAACCTATCCTTGACAGTCAAACTTGACCTAACCTAACCTACCCTTTAGTAACCTAACCTAACCTAACCTAACCTTCACTTTGCAGGAACTTGCCGCGAGCGATCTGGGTGGCGCTGCCCCTTGTGACACTCGTCTATGTGCTGGTCAACATCTCCTACCTCGCAGTACTCTCGCCCTCAGACCTCCTGGCCTCCAACGCTGTCGCTGTGGTGAGTATCTCTCTCTCTCTCTCTCTCTCTCTCTCTCTCTCTCTCTCTCTTCCTGTTAAATCTACTCTCTCTCTCTCTTCCTATCAGAACTGTCACCACACCCTCAGGTCAGAACTGTCACCACACCCTCAGGTCAGAACTGTCACCACACACCCTCAGGTCAGAACTGTCACCACACACCCTCAGGTCAGAACTGTCACCACACCCTCAGGTCAGAACTGTCACCACACACCCTCAGGTCAGAACTGTCACCACACACTCTCAGGTCAGAACTGTCACCACACCCTCAGGTCAGAACTGTCTACCACACACCCTCAGGTCAGGGCACATGCCACATGTACCCTCAGGTCCAGAGACTGTCACCCACACACCCCTCAGTTCAGAGCTGTCACCACACACCCTCAGGTCAGAACTGTCACCACACACACTCCTCAGGTCAGAACTGTCTCCACACCCTCAGGTCAGAACTGTCACCACACCTTCCAGGTCAGAACTGTCACCACACACACCCTCAGGTCAGAACTGTCACCCCCACACACCTCAGGTCAGAACTGTCACCCCCACCCTCAGGTCCAGGAGCTGTCACCACACACACTCAGGTCAGAACTGTCACCCACACACACCCTCAGGTCAGAACTGTCACCACACACCCTCAGGTCAGAACTGTCACCACACACCCTCAGGTCAGAACTGTCACCACACACCCTCAGGTCAGAACTGTCACCACACACCCTCAGGTCAGAACTGTCACCACACACCCTCAGGTCAGAACTGTCACCACACACCCTCAGGTCAGAACTGTCACCACACACCCTCAGGTCAGAACTGTCACCACACACCCTCAGGTCAGAACTGTCACCACACACCCTCAGGTCAGAACTGTCACCACACACCCTCAGGTCAGAACTGTCACCACACACCTCTGGTCAAGAACTGTCACCACACACCCTCCAGTTCAGAACTGTCCACCACACACCCTCCAGGTCAGAACTGTCACCCACACACCCTCAGGTCCAGAACTGTCACCACACACCCCTCGGGTCAGAACTGTCTCACCCACACACACCCTCAGGTCAGAACTGTCACCCCCACACACACCCTCAGGTCAGGAGCTGTCACCACACACCCCTCAGGTCCAGAACTGTCACCACCCTCAGGTCAGAACTGTCACCACACACCCTCAGGTCAGAACTGTCACCACACCCTCAGGTCAGAACTGTCACCACACACACCCTCAGGTCAGAACTGTCACCACACCTCAGATTAAGGCTGTCACCACCCTCAGGTCAGAACTGTCACCCACACACCCTCAGGTCAGAACTGTCACCCACACACCTCAGGTCAGAACTGTCACCACACACCCTCAGGACACCACACACCCTCAGGTCAGAACTGTCACCACACACCCTCAGGTCAGAACTGTCACCACACACCCTCAGGTCAGAACTGTCACCACACACCCTCCAGGTCAGAACTGTCACCACACACGCACTCCCTCCAGGTCAGAACTGTCACCACACACCACTCTCAGAACTGTCACCACACACCCTCAGGTCAGAACTGTCACTCCCACACACCCTGAGGTCCCACTGTCACCCACACCCTCAGGTCAGAACTGTCACCACACACCCCTCAGGTCAGAACTGTCACCACACACCCTCAGGTCAGAACTGTCACCACACACACTCTCAGGTCAGAACTGTCCCCACACACTCTCAGGTCAGAACTGTATCACCCACGCTCTCAGGTCATAATTGTCACCCACACGCCCTCAGGTCAACTGTCACTACACACTCTCAGGTCAGAACTGTCACCACACACTCTCAGGTCAGAACTGTCACCACACACCCTCAGGTCAGAACTGTCACCACACACTCTCAGGTCAGAACTGTCACCACACACTCTCAGGTCAGAACTGTCACCACACACTCTCAGGTCATAATTGTCACCACACACCCTCAGGTCAGAACTGTCACCACACACCCTCAGGTCAGAACTGTCACCACACACTCTCAGGTCAGAACTGTCAACACACACTCTCAGGTCATAATTGTCACCACACACCCTCAGGTCAGAGCTATATACTGCAGTGTGGTGTCATTGGGTGTGACAGTACATGATGTTGGCTACACCACTGTACTGTAGGTATGAACGAGTCTCGCTACTCCCTCAATAAGCCTCTGATGTTCCAGAATTAATCCCCCTTTAGAGGATTGGAAGCTCTTCATTAACATCAAGTGGTAGAGAAGCATCGATACTCCCTTTATATGCTAGACTGGCACCTGCTGCTCTTCATGGTAAAGGTGACCTGCCTCTACGTCACATGACCAAAGTTTGTTTATGTTAACTCTTAGTGTACTGTAGGACTAAGTGTGGATCAGGGTTTGAAGGTCATAATATTTACGTCTGTGGACGTTTAGCGAATATAGCTTCCGCAGATATCATATGAAAATACATGAGAACAATGATCTGGAAAAAGGATAAAGGTATCAGAACTATGTGAGGTGTTGGAAGTGATCTAGAAACTAGGCTTCAAAAAGAATATCTTGTACACCCACGCCATGAAAATACGATTCTAGGCTTTGTTTGGGTTGGCGCCTAGGCCGCCTCGGGTGTGCTGCGTTGACATTATAACCCAATGAATTTACCCAGGAACTAGCAAACCAGACCCTTACCTTAGTGTGTAATTTAGGATTAAGATATGTATTTATAAAGTATGAGGTCACAATAGATAGGAAAATGGAGATGTGGAAACCATAAGAATCCAAAGTGAAAAATGAAGATTGGAAACTGTAGGCCTAAACAGAGAGGAGTGTGGGAGTGGGACATCACCTCGACTTCTCCCAACATAGTTCAGTGTCCTTCATCGTGCTTTATTCAGCCCTAAAAAGACTTATCTAGCAGTTTTTACATCTTAAAACCTTGTCTGATGTCATAAAGTGAAGTCATACTGTACTAATGTGTGGTGACGAAAGCCCCTCAGGCAGTATTCTCAGTGATGCCTCGACTTCTCCCAACACCGGACGACCAAGTGACATAAGGAAGGTTGAGAAACTCCGCGGTCGTCACTTGGAGCGACCTATAATACCAGGCGTAGAAACAGTACTGGTATGTCTCTTGGTGAATCCCTTGTCCCTACCCACCGAGGGCGGTGTGCGAACGAGGTGCCTGATATGTGTACCTAGAAATTACAAGAAGTCCCATACTTGCAGGTGTGGAGTGTAACAGGTGTGGAGGTGATGCTACAGGGAGGTGAGATGACCTAAGGTGCTATATTCCATACAGGTGCAGTCTGACGTGTTGAGTGTTATTGTAAGAATGGATGACCGGGTAAGGAGGTCACTGATTGTTATGCAATAAGTATGTTTTATAAGGATAAATTAGTTAAGACATGTTATGGTTTCACCCTTCCTTCCCCTTATCGATTTGGTCAATGAAAAACCTAACCCAATGCCTAGCTCACTCTGCCCATTACCTAACGAGCTACATACTGCCCAGAGGGGGTCTGGTGGCAGCAACCCCTAGAAATTAAGAATAGAGTTAAGTATTTCCTCTTAGAATTAGTGACCCCAGATATGGCAGTACAGTATACCACATTTTACAATATTTTATTTATGTGTTTATTCATTTGGATTATTTTTATTTTCATTCTTTAAAATTCATGTTAATCTATTCCATCACGTAAAACTATGTTCAGCAAGAAGCGTGATAGAAATTAGGCTAGCTACTTGGACAGAACCATTATTTGAGTAGAGGTTTATCTGATTAATAATGCAAAAAATCATCTCTCTGTAATAACTAATAATATATTCTTTACTGTGAAGTCTCTTGAAAATTTTTGACATGTGCGGTAGTAGCTATATCAGGGCTGGTCGACTTGAAACCACATGAATGACTCCAGTCATGTTTCACTTTTGTGTGTGTGTGTGTTGGGAATTTGTACACTGTCAATAAATATACAGTTAATTAAAAATTTCTCTATGTTCTAATTTCCTCAGTATAACTGCATATGGCTTCAAAATTCTCCAAAGAAGTGTTCAAATTTCAAAATTTTCCTGGGGGGCTTACAGCGCCCCCCGGAACTCCCAGATGTTTAGGCTCGCTTCACTCGCCACCCCACCCTCTTGGGTAGTTATAATGAGGGGGGCCTCCACAAAGAGGCTGCCCATGGGCCTCCACAGGTCTAAATCCAGCACTGGTCCTAACTCTCATTTGGCTCAGCCATGTCATTATTGTTATTCATGTTACATTATTCTGGCTAAATAAACTGCTTCAATGTCAATATTAAACATGGTAGTTATTATTTCAACCAATTAAGGAAACTTTTTTCTTGCAGGCCTTTGGTAACAAGGTTCTTGGTCCACTCAAGTACACAGTGCCAGTTTTTGTGGCACTGTCCACCTTTGGGAGTCTCAACGGGATACTGTTTACCTCGGGACGACTGTTTCTGGCAGGGGCGCGGAATGGCCACCTGCCTCCCGTCCTCTCCTTCATCCATATCCGTGCTCGCACCCCCATCCCCGCCCTGCTCATCACGGTCAGTCAATTTCCTTTATTTTACATTTTTTTCTCGCATAAAAATTTCAACCAAAAATAACAAAATAAGTTTGTTATTATTAGACCAAGAATGGTGTGTGTGTTGCTCACAATCCACATCGTTGTCCACTTTTTGCAAAATAACTTTCAAGAGGTTTTATTAAAATGAAGGAGACTGAATAAATTGTTATGAATACGAAGGTAAGCACTGGGAGGCTTTATTCAACATCAGTATCCATAGATCTGTAATAAACAGGAATTACATATTAAGAATGACTAAGCTTCAATTGGCTTAACACAAATAAACAAAGCATAAGGAATATAAGAGAACTTCAAACAATATAAACAGAACCAACTAAGCATAACACATCACTAATGTTGTAGTGATCATTTAAAAAGAATCATGAGAGGAGATTGGTTAATACCTACATTACTTTAGTTATGTTATAGTAGAGCAACACTGTACTGTACTTAATGAAGTGTAAAAGTTCTTCATCCAAATATTGTTTGTTCATCATATAACTCTTCTCTACTAATATCTGAAGTTGTGGGATTGCATCAAAAGGGAATGTCTTAAATGCAGTACAGTACTTAAAGCTAAAGCAGAATGAGGATATATTGTACATAGATCACTACTAAGGTACATTGTTATCGAGGTAAAATTTAATCTGAACTTGTGAAACAACTTCTACTAAAAATGACTGACATGTCTTAACACTTTCAGTTCTTCTGTTGTATCAGTTGTTGTGCACTCCAACAGGAATATTATCAACAGACAGACCAGCTCTTTTTTTCATTTATTTTTTTGCATCATATTCGCCACTTATCAGCTTACTCGCCGTATTATTTAACAAAGTAACTTTATTAATTTTGACTAGAATTACATTTATGAAATCTGAGTATAGAGGCTTCAATAAGTTTTCACGTTTCAGTTTTAAGGCTGAAAAAATATGGAAACTGATATTGAGTTGAAGCAATAAAAAATTGGCCTGAAATATAATCACAGAATTCCAGATAGTCGCTGGTTACCTTGTTATCCTGGGCATCAACTAATATTTCCTAGACTTGTGTAAGATCACTGAAAGACAATAGTGTATAATACATGTGCAGGGCGTCACACTGTGCCAACCGTCCCTAACTTTACTTTACTTTTATCCTCTTCACCGCTGATTGGCTTGTTAGCCGCTTGGGCGATCGGTCACGTCTCTGTTACTTTTCTTTTTCTTTTATCCTCTTCACCAAATGATCGGCCAGGGGCAAGGGACATGTGATGTTCAGTACTAACAATAAAGTTGGCAACTCTTGAGATGTGCGATGCCTCTTAGATCCGAGACTCAAATGAAGAAATAATCATAACTCGTCTTTGATCTCCGGTTACAGACAAAATTCTCCTGTACACTTGGCAGTACAGTCTCAGGCAGGTAACTACTTCACGGGTGAAGGGGACTGCAATGTTGTTGTATTTTTCAGATTTGTCTCTGTATTATGGAGTGGGTTTTTATTATCATTTTATGGTTCCATCATAATATGTGATGAAAAGCAGCATTATTAGATATAAACCAATCCAGTATTCCCTTAAAGCTCACTGGGTTAGGTAAAATGGACTCCGCGAGAAAACAAAATCCGTGAGTTTTTCATGCCAGTCCCATGAGTGTGTAAAATATATACTGTATATATATAAATAGCTGTATGTTCCTGTATACCAACATTATGTATGTTTAAGACAATACAGGTACTCCCCGACTTATGACCTACGACTTACGTCCACCCGCACTTACGACCTGCCTCATTCGTACCAAAATGTGGTCAAATCATGTATTTTTGAGTCCCAAAGTCAGTACACAGACAAAATTTTCATCTGTAATTCACTTTAAAATGGCTGGCAAGCTTAAAAGTGAGAGTTTTGTGGTGCTGAGAAGAAAAAGAGATGTCCATTTTAGATTTTCTATGTGTTATTTAAGCATTTCCTACTAAGACCTGGATGTCGGTCCCTAACCCAGTCGTAAGTCGGGGAGTACATAGATAATATAAATAAATAAATAAATAAATAAATAAATAAATAAACTTGAACATCAAATAACATAAATAAATTAACAAACTTAAAATAACAAATAAATAAACATAAACCTAATAACATAAATAAATAAACATAAAATAACATAAACACAAAATAACAAATAAAAAAACATAAAATTACAAATAAATAAACATAAAATAACATAAATAAGCCTAAACATAGACCTAAAATAACACTGTATGAACATTAGGTCCAGTAGTTAGTTGTAACAATATAATACCTCAGACATGTGAGGTGATCTGGTGCACACACAGGATGTAAACAATCCCTGTAGTACTGGACAAGTGTGTATACCGTAGGTTGGTACAGTGTGTGTATAATTATATCCTTTGTGTTAAATATTATTAATAATACCAACAAATGTTTGGTCCATAAAGTGATAGTGAGAAACATGACACCATATAGCCAGTACAGTTGGCTGTTAAATTTACACAAATTCTTTTCCCCAAAATATACCTTGTTAATTATAGGCTGCCTCTTATGACCTGGTACATATGGTGCTCTGTAGTGTTCTAACTCTACCTTGTTAATTATAGGCTGCCTCTTATGACCTGGTAAATATGGTGCTCTGTAGTGTTTTAACTCTACCTTGTTAATTATAGGCTGCCTCTTATGACCTGGTACATATGGTGCTCTGTAGTGTTCTAACTCTACCTTGTTAATTATAGGCTGCCTCTTATGACCTGGTACATATGGTGCTCTGTAGTGTTCTAACTCTACCTTGTTAATTATAGGCTGCCTCTTATGACCTGGTACATATGGTGCTCTGTAGTGTTCTAACTCTACCTTGTTAATTATAGGCTGCCTCTTATGACCTGGTACATATGGTGCTCTGTAGTGTTTTAACTCTACCTTGTTAATTATAGGCTGCCTCTTATGACCTGGTACATATGGTGCTCTGTAGTGTTTTAACTCTACCTTGTTAATTATAGGCTGCCTCTTATGTCCTGGTACATATGGTGCTCTGTAGTGTTTTAACTCTACCTTGTTAATTATAGGCTGCCTCTTATGACCTGGTACATATGGTGCTCTGTAGTGTTCTAACTCTACCTTGTTAATTATAGGCTGCCTCTTATGACCTGGTACATATGGTGCTCTGTAGTGTTTTAACTCTACCTTGTTAATTATAGGCTGCCTCTTATGACCTGGTACATATGGTGCTCTGTAGTGTTCTAACTCTACCTTGTTAATTATAGGCTGCCTCTTATGACCTGGTACATATGGTGCTCTGTAGTGTTGACTCCTCTTGATCCCCGGCACACGGCCTCAGATTTATTTTATTTATTTTCCGTGGCAATCCGTGAGTTTCCGAGGGACGCAAGCTTTAAAACCACGAGCTTTACGGGAATACTGTATTATATGTGATCCTCAGGTAAAGGCCAGATATTGCTAAGAGTTCAGGTAATTTTGTTCACAACTGTACATCCCCGTGAAGTTTGAGGCGGCAGACAACACACTGGCATGTGACCTCAACGTTACAGTAGTTATATCTGAACCAAAACCAACAATAATTTTGAGGAATGATTTTGATATGAAACTTTCACTAAGAACTTTATAAAGATCATTCACAGAACTATCAGTCAGTTTAGACAAATGAATTGTAAAATTTCTTTCCATTAAAAATACTGAAAAACCACAGGCAATGTTTGGTGATGACTGTCAGTCAATTCATGTGGTAACAACAGAAATAAAGTGTTCACATTATGTTGTGCTGAGGACATATATCCTAAAATCTTGTCTAGTAATAGTTGATGCTTATTGTTTGTCTACCTCAGTGTTTATACTTGGTGAGAGAACAGGTCTAGTAGCAGTTCACAATAAGAAATAACTAAGTGGTGTTGAGACAGAAGACACTCATGACCCTGTAGTACTTGTCAACTTAACTTACTGCAGTGTTAACACATCCTTCTTCCCCTCCACCTGACTCTAAAACAACAGATTGATCAAAGTAAACCCATCCTAATAAACAACATACCTCTTATATTAACCAGTACAGTAGTTACACTACTCATACTGTAAAGGGTGTCAACTGAAGGCAACACTTGTCTTCAGTGGTTAAGTAGTCCACAAATGAAGTCTTATCTTTCTTACTAATCTGAGAGTTCATTTCACACTGGAAACATATTCTTTCTACCAAATAAAAGCATCGTTTCATGATGTTCATAATATTTTTACCAATCAGAATTCAAAGCCTGGCTTAACAGTATGTGACATCATTGCAAGCTGCAATCTTTCCTCTTTATCCTCTTCACCATTGATCGGTCTGTTGGGCTCTTAGGTCGTCGGTCATACCTCTGTCACACGCTGTTGGCAAGTACTGGTCATGTACCGGCTCCTGAATGTACCTGAACCCGCTCCAGTGTTGGTCAAGTCTGGTCTTGAAAGAGCTCACACTCGGTGCCATCACAACACTCTATGGCAGATTGTTCCAAGAGTTCAAACTCGCTCCAATAAAATTTGCCCTGACAGTTTTCTGAATTTGTGGCTTGTCCACCCTGAGGCTGTGATCCCCAGTGTGACGGGCATCTGCCAGCTTCAGGTATGAACACTCAAATGAGTAATGCTGTCTGAGTTCTGTTAAGTCACCTCTTGTCTGCCTATAGTATAAGCTAGGCCAGGCATGGGCAACCTTTCCTCAGCCATGGGCAACCTTTCCTCAGCCATGGGCCACCTTATAATTTATATCCTACCTAACCCAAAAGTACTGTTAATATTGTATTATCGTGGACAGTGAAACAGTTTATCCTCACATCCACCTCACAATATTTTCTGTTTACAATCACAGTTTTTTCCCATTAATGAAACAAATCCACCATAATAATTTTTAATGTAATATGTTAATGTTTCTTGGCCTTTAACACAAGATTACTGAAGCAGTCTGTAAATACAATGATTTTTCCCACAGTTACAACATTTGTCTTACTTATGAGACACAGCCACCAGAATACTGTTAATGTTAATCTTGGTGCATGAACAACTACAATGACACAACCTATAGGTACATCTATTTATTTTAATATACAATACATATATATATATATATATATATATATACAGTATATATATATATATATATATATATATATATATATATATATATATATATATATATATATATATATATATATATATATATATATATATATATATATATATATATATATATATATATATATATATATATATATATATATATATATATATATATATATATATATATATATATATATATATATATACCAGGATTCGAACCCACGGTGGTCCAGCGGTTAGCATTCCCCGGTCACAGTCATAGGCTCGTGGGTTCAAATCCTGGCGGGTTGAGGTGTTGATTGTATGTAGAAGTCCTCGTGCATTATTGGGCTAATGAAATATATATGGATCCTCGTGTTTCGAAGCCGGATTTGGTAAAACGTTACTCTGACCACCTACGTGATACTGGTGGTCCCCATTAGAGGTTCACGGCGCCATCAGCTCGTTGAACAGGCTTTGTGTGAAATATAACAGAGTCTAGGACTGCTTTTGTATCCTGGTGGTCCAGCTGTTAGCATTCCCTGGTCACAGTCATAGGCTCGTGGGTTCGAATCCTGGCGGGTTGAGGTGTTGATTGTATGTAGAAGTCTTCGTGCATTATTGGGCTAATGAAATATGTATACAGTCACCCCTCCATTAACGAACTCAATCCGTTCCAGAAGGTCGTTCGTTAACCGAAAAGTTCGTTAACCGAAACCATTGTTTCAATCAGGGCTGTGGAGTCGAAGACAAAACCTTCGACTCCGACTCCTCAAATTTTTATGCTTCCGACTCCGACTCCTCAAATTTTTATGCTTCCGACTCCGACTCCTTGGCCTATTTGTAACAACTATTTCTACCATCCTAATTGTAATTTGTATGTTGTAACCTGCGTAGGTAAAAAGTAAAACACCGTGGCTATACTGCTACAGCTTTATTAATGATCTGGACGATATTTAATAACTACAAAAAGATGATAGGCTTGACTTTCAAAGTTTCAATCAAAAGAAAAATAAATTTATTAAGAATTCAAGATATTAACTAGAAAACACCATTTACATGTATATCTAAAAGTTCGATCTCAGCATATGAATTTTGTTTAAGCTCATAATCTGATGTGGATCTAAATGATGATCCTACAATTCCTTTTAAAGTAAAGTTATATATTTATGTACATTAAAGAAATGAATACCTTATTAAGGAAAATGGATAAACCTTACATGATTAAGTTATTAAATTAAATTTGCCTTAATCTCACCAAAAACAGGTTGTAGCTAATTGTTTTGTAGCTGAGAGCCTCTGTGCAGTTTTCAACGAAACAAAATTTGATATAATTCAAAATTTCAAATGGTAAAGAAGAGACTATCGTCCAAAATTATAGTGCTATACTGTGCCTGCTACAATAAATTCATAATAATGCTTATAAAATGGAAATAAATTCTTTTAATAATTTAAGAAAATTAGTGGGATCAGTGGAATCACTGCAATGAATATGCCTGAGTTCATATATTTGTTCTTAGGAACAGAATAGCTTCAGTCAGATCTTCCTTCATGGAAGCCCTTAAATCTGATCTGATTATTTTCAGTGCAGAAAACAGTCTTTCTACACTGACCTGAGTGGGTGGCATTGCTGTCACAGCTCTAGCTACATCTTTTACAATCTCTGGGTAAGCAGGTATGGCTTCTTCCACTGTCACTTTTGAAGACCGGTCAAATTTCTCCACTTCCATCAGTGCACCAAAGAAATCTTGCTGAAATCTCGTATTTTTAATGTCTACCGCTGCTGCGTTTTCACTCCGATGTCGCTTTACCTTTGCGAGTCGGAGTCGGAGTCTGGACAATTTTACCGACTCCGACTCCGACTCCACAAGCCGAAATTTCCTCCGACTCCTCGACTCCGACTCCGACTCCACAGCCCTGGTTTCAATGGGTTTTTGGGTAATTGGTTCCAGCTCACCGAAAATTTCCTAAATTCAACAAAAATGGTAGAAAAGTTCACTTACTTTGAGGTGTGTATGTAGAAGGCTCCTGGATGATGATGATGATGATGGGATTTAGAATGGGGGTGGAGGAGAAGGAAGAAGAGAAGGCATTGGGGTGGAAGAGAAGTCACCCCATGGTGCCATTTCACCCATAAAATTTTAGCTCTCTTGGTGTAATTCAAGATTATTTTCTTTAAATCAACACTGCACTGCATTATATATTGTCAATATGTAAAATATATTTCAAAATAACCAATAATTTGCTTGGAAACACAGAAAAAAAGTGTATAGTTGAAGAGAGTCTCAAGCAAGATGTTACCTCCAGTGAAAACAGAGAGAGACTAACTCCTGTTTGCTGTGTTAACAGGCTGGATGCCTCGCATTAAACTAGTCACTTTACCTTCAATTATGTTCAATAATTGTTAAAATGACTAAAAAATTGAATATTAAACTTTTAAAATTATTGAATAGTATAAACTCCTTGATATTTACTAAAATAGTAAGGAATTTAAGCCCTAGAACCGATTAATGTATTGGCGGACTAATACTAAAGCTGGTTGCCCGGTCAGTGCAAGCGAAAACATGTTGAGGTCGGTTCGTAAATACTTCGTTAACCGAATTTTTTTTCGTTAACCGATTGAAGATCCTTATGGAAGGCAGTTCGTTAATCTAAATTACGTTAACTGAGGTGTTCGTTAAACGAGGGGTCACTGTATATATATATATATAAGAACATAAGAACATAAGAAAGTGGGATACTGCAGGAGGCCGACTGGCCCATACAGGGCAGATCCCTTTCACACCCATCCCAGCACTTCCATGTGCCTATCCAACTTCGTCTTGAAGCTCCCTAGCGTCCCCGATCCTACTATAGCACTCGGTAGCCTATTCCACATATCCACAACTCTATTACCAAACCAGTGCTTGCCTTTATCCTTTCTGGGACGAAAATAGGTGAAGCTGGATCCTTGCTGGTTGCCAAACTAAGACTGAGGAAGTAGCCGACAGAATGGAGGTGGTTGCTAAGAGGAGTTATGCTGAGGTATTAGCAGGCCACGGGAGGTGGCGGAGAGTAATGCAGGATCAGAACAGGTTCTACAGCAGCTAGGGGCTTTGAAGAAGCATGTCGAAGAAATGAAAATTAACGGACCTACTGTTAGGGGAGAGGAGGAACAACGGGAACGTTACCAGAGTAGGAACAATGTAATAGTTTATGGAGTCTCTGAGAGCCAGGCGGAGGGAACTGAGACTAGGATAACACACGATAAGTTGCAGTTTGTGAATATTTGTACAGAGGTTCTGACGATGCCATCAACACCTCAGGATGTAAGGAGGCTGAGACAAAAGCAGGGGGACAATCCTCGCCCATTCAGGATCACACTAGTGAGTGAGAAGGAGAAATGGGAGGTTATTCGGCAGGCAAAAAACTTAGCAAGGAGCGAGGCATCTCGGAGTGTATTCATTCACCCAGATCGCACGGTAATGCAGAGGGAACAGCACAAGAAGCTCCTGCAGGACTTGAAGCAGAAGAGGGAGGAGTCGAGGAAGAACGGGGACGGGTGTACATGGGTTGTATTCAGGGGGAGAGTGGTGGAAGTAAGTGTGCTGACACAGGGCCATGGGGCAGCAGCGCACCCTCCACCCACTCCGCTCTATACCCCACTCGGGAGGTGGCACCAGCTCCTCCTATCAGCCGGGAGGAGGCGAGCGCTGTGTAAACAATGACATTTCTAACCACACCCTGCAAAATACAGTGTACTTAGCAAATGCTGCAGCTTCTGAGAATTGGGGGGGGATTACTACTAAGACCAGAGACGTTACCGAAAAGAAGAAATTCTGGCTTGAATGTCATGTACAGTAATACTGACACATTCCTCTGATAAGAGAGAGGAGTTTGAAACACTACTGAAGGTACACCAACCAGATATTGTAGGAGTTGTAGAACTGTTGTACAAGAACAGGAGAATTGACCCAGAGGAATGTGAGTTCAGTATTGCTGGATATGACTCATTTACAAACCTTTCTCAAGAAACTTGCAAGAGGGGTGTGGTTATCTATGCTAGGCAAGACCTTAGAGCCAGCCAGGCGAGGGTACAGGGAGAGGATGTTTTTGAAGAGTCCAAGTGGTGTAAAATTAAATTAAAGGGAGGAGATTTACTTATTGTCGGATGTTGGTAGAGGCTAAGACTATGTCTCCTGGTGTGTGTGTGTGTGTGTAGAGGCCAAGAGTACGTCCCCTGGTGTGTTTAGTTTAAAGCATTATACATCTCTGACAGTTTATGGTGAATTCTCGTGCCTTGGTCTCTGGGGTGTCAAGTCATATGAGATGTTCTTCCTCAGATGGCCCCTGAGAGTGAAGGTCAGTCTGGTGGTAGGACTGTGGACATCTCAAACACTTTCTTTACATTTTTAAGAGTAGTAAGCACACCTGGACACAGTGCTTGTGGAGGGACACAAACATTCTACTTATGTACAGTTCCCTTCACTAGTGCGTTTACAGGGGTTCGTCAGGTTTTGTGAAGTGTGGCAGCCCTGTGTTTGTTTACATTCGACACCAGGAAACTCACAATAGTAAACATACTGTGGAGTCATACTGATACAATATTAAAACAAATATCTGGAAGATAATGATTTATGGAATATTTATATGACGAGCCCCTGTAAACACACTTGTGAAGGGGACTGTGCATGAAACCTTGATGCTATTCTTATTATGTATTGAATATTGTCCAGAACCCATGGACCTTCTCGGGTAGAAGAGGTTTGGTGTATGAACAACATACAGTGTCTTGAGCTTTGATCTGACAGAGTAAAATAAAATCAAGAGGACATGTAGCTGAGAGTTGGAGGAAGAAGTTGCTAACCTTGTGTGTTCTTACAGTGTATGTTGTCACTGCTGATGCTGGGCATTGACATCTTCTCCTTGATCAACTGCTTATCCTTTGTACTGTGGCTGAGCATCGGAGCAGCGGTTGCAGCACTCCTGTGGCTGCGACGGTCGAGGCCTAACACAAAGCGTCCCATCCGTGTCCACACTGCCCTTCCTGTCATCTTCCTGGCTGGCTGCATCTACCTGGTGGTGGTGCCGATGATTACTGAACCTATTAGTACAGGTAAACTATAATTATTGAATTATCGGTACAGTACATGTACAGTCGGGGTCAAAAGTTTGCTCCCACCCAAAATAATGCAGCATCGACCCCCAAATGAGATGAAACAGTCAGGGTAAGTCAGTTCTGAGACTCATTCTCGTGACTCAGTTTCACCAGTGAGTGAACCTTTGTCCCCGACTGTACACTGACTATGATAACGTGTGTAAATAATTATGATTCTTCACACTTTGTAAACTTAATGTGAGGTTGAGTACAGAGTGAATTTTAGTTATATTTTGATATTCACTCGTACAATAACAGTGTGTTCTGTATTCACCTTTACTTAATGGTCTATCAGGCTTATGGAACTTGGTCTTACCTGTTCTATCATTCATAACAACACTTTACATTGGGTGACCCCTTACAAGATCATGGGATCAGATAATTTTGGTTTAATGACCAACCTACACACACTCTGGCCATCAATCATCCCGTGAATCTACTCTTATCTCATGCACAAGTTTGTTAACTTTACTTCATCCTGTTGACACTGGTTGGCTCTCTGGCCAATTGGGTGGTCGGCCATTTCTCTGTTATGTACTGACATCTCGCTTGTGAGGCAAGAACTGACTGCTATTGATTAAAGCAAATAAAACATAGAGTACATAATGTTATACATCAATAATAAAACATTGATTGGTTACATCTTCTCAGAACAGGGATACTGTGTGGAAATTAAAACTTATTATTTTTGTTAAACTTAATGAAAACTAGAAGCATCACTTAAATGATAAAATGATGAACCTAAGTCTGCGTGTTAGCTCATTCTGTGTTTGGTTAAATCGGTGGTTACCAGCACCAATGTTTAAATCTTACTGACTCAATATTTTGTTACTATAGTGCATTTTTTCCCAGCTGAGATGAGATGCCCCGCCCCCTCCTCAAGAGTTACAGCTGATTGGCTGTTGCAAATCTGTTCGATTTCATCCTGAAATAATTATGTATTTCTAAATGAGTTTATTCCTATTCGTTGGGATGACCGTTTATGACGAGAAAGATATTTAGCTAAATTAAATAAAGATACATACATTTATTATTTGAAACAGTAGCACGTAGGAAGTTTATCAGAAATATTATACATGAATTAGCTGTTAAACTCTGGTAACAAGTCCACGCTTTCTGAGGATGCATTTAATATATACCCTGTTTCATGTCGCTCCACAATGAAAACTTGGATAAGATAAATCTTGATAAAATCACACGGGGAAAAGGGAAACAACGGACCACCTTAGCTTTCGTCTTTATTCAAGACATCTTCAGAGGCAACTGGATTACATGGACAGAGAGAGGCTTAAATATACAGGGTGACCTTATTAAACATGAGGTCAGGTCATAATGATGTCATCCACTAATCCCCACACCAACACCAACACACACGTAGAGGAGGTTAAAAGAAAGGGGGCGACGTGACTAGTCAGGTCAGGTCAGGTCAAAAATAAGGGACCCACTAAATAACTATCATACATCTAGCTCCAAGGTTCTCAAAGCATTTTTAACCTTGGGCCACTGACAAATAAATTTATGTAACATATTATCAGTTTTGAACTGACCATCACTAAGGTTTATTGATTTTAATTCCTTAATCAAACTAGCTTCAACCAGAAGTCTTTCTGTGACACAAGATGATTTGAATACTTTTAAGCTTTTTTCCCAAGCAATGAGATGATTATTATTCCTCACATGAACGAACAGGGCGCTGCTTTCATATGTTGTTCTGATATTGTACTTATGTTGTTTGATTCTGAGCTGCAATGTTTTTCCTGTCTGTCCTACATAATTACCATTACATTTGCTACATGGAATACAATAAACACTTCCATTTACATTCAAAGTTGGGCTATTTTTATTAACATATTGGTAATGGTTGAGTCATACTTGAAAACAACATTAATATTTAGTAATTTAAGAGACCGAACTAACTGGACAAATTCATTGCGATAGGGCAGAGTCAAAATATTCTTAAGTGTAGGAATTTGCCTGGTTTGAGTAGAATGAAAGGATTTTTTCACCTTTTTAAAACAATGATCAACAGCCACTGAAGGGTACCCAAGTTTTTGTGCAATGGAACGAATGTGTTTCAATTCTTCATCAGTAAATTCAGCGTCACAAATACGCAAACATCTCAAAAACATAGCAGAAAAAACTGACATTTTGGTAGATTCCAAGTGACTCGATAAAAAATGTATGAAACTGTCTACCTGTGTAGGCTTTCTGTATACCTTAAATTTGTAGTTATGGCCATTTCTAATGATAAGCATGTCAAGGAATGGAAGGGATCCATTTATTTCTCTTTCAATTTTGAATGTGATACTTGAGACAATATTATTAAGCTTGTCTAAAAATTCCAATTGGGTCACTGTTTCTAGGCCAAAGACAAAGAACATCATCTACATATCTATACCATGGAGGAATAAAGTCCCCTATTTAAGCCTCTCTCTGTCCATGTAATCCAGTTGCCTCTGAAGATGTCTTGAATAAAGACGAAAGCTAAGGTGCTCCGTTATTTCCTTTTTCCCCGTGTTTATCAAGATATACCCTGTATTTATTTTTACCACAATAAGTCAAACTAAGACTAATTATGTATCAGTAAAACTACATAATGCAAAAACTAACATTTTAAAAGATCAGAATAACACTAAAATGTTACACGGTTCCTAAAAGTTGGTGGACGAGTGTGACAGACTGGCCGCTGGAGCGAACAGCCGTCAGCAGAGGCGGGAAATATGACTGAACAACTTCATATTTTAGTATGATTCTGATCTTTTAAAATGTTAGTTTTGCATAATATAGTTTTACTGATACATAATTATTCTTAGTATGAGTTATTGTTGTAAAAATAAATACAGGGTATATATTAAATGCATCCTCAGAAAGCGTGGACTTGTTACCAGAGTTTAACAGTTAATTCTTGTATAATATTTCTGATAAACTTTCTACGTGCTCCTGTTTCAAATAATAAATGTATGTATCTTTATTTAATTTAGCTAAATATCTTTCTTGTCATAAACGGTCATCCCAACGATTAGGAATAAACTCATTTAGAAATACATCATTACTTCAGGATGAAATCAGACAGATTTGCAACAGCCAATCAGCTGCAACTCTTGAGGAGGGGGCGGGGCATCTTATCTCAGCTGGGAAACAACTCACTATAGCAGCTAGAGTATTAGAGACATAATATGGACAGTGAATGTTTGCTGAGTCATGTAAAGGACTCAATGTAGATGACTATTGAAAATCCTGAGCTCAGTAATGTAAGAAAAGGAAACGGAGTATACTGGTATATACTCACTATTGTAATCGTTATTACAATTACATTTTGAATGTAATCAATTACGATTATTTCAAAGCCTGTAATCAATTGCCCATACTAGGCAGTCCTTTTTACACCCAACCCCTATCGCTCATATATCCATCCAACCTACAGTATGTTTGAAGCTATCCAGTGTTTTGAGTTAATGATGATGTTCAATAACTTGTTCCACTCATCCACTACTCTATTTCCAAACCAATGTTTATCTACTTCGCCCCTAAATCTAAATTTGTCTAATATAAAACCATTGTTACGAGTTCGCTCCTGGTTGGATAGTTTGAGTACCTTTGTTATATCACCTTTGTTTAGCCCTGACTTCCATTTATACACCTCTATCATGTCGCCCCTCACTCTACGTCTCTCGAGGGAGTGCAAATTAAAATGATTTAACCTGTCTCTGTACTCAAGGTTCCTAATGCCCAGGATGAGTCATTCTCCTCTGAATGCTTTCTGGAGATTCTATATCCATTCTATAATATGGTGACTAGAATTGAACTGTGTAATCCAAGTGAGGTCTGACAAGTGCAAGATATAGTTTCAGGATTACCTCTCTTGTCTTGTAACTAACACTCCTCTGTATGAACCCAAGTACTTTGTTAGCCTTGTTTCAAGCAAATACACATTGTTGTCTTGGTTTAAGATTCCTACTTATCATTGCTCCTAAATCTTTCTCACAGTCGGATTTCTCTATAACAACGCTGTTCATTTGATATCTGGTTTCTGTTTACATCTCCTAGACTAAGTACAGTACTTTACTTTTGTCCACATTAAATTTGATATATTTTTCAGACCTCGTCAGATTTAATTACACTCCCTATTTTAGTGTTATCAGCAAATTTACTTATGTTGTTGTCTATGTCTATATCTACATCACTTATGTATATAATAAATAGTACAGGTTGACAACCCTTTACCCGAAAACCGAAAACCGAAAGTTTTTTTGTGGAGCAATTTTTTTTTTTTTTTTTTTTAAACAGGGATTAGTCACCCAGGCATAGATCACTGACCCACATCGGGCCTGGGGAAATGTAATAGTAATACTAATTATAATAATTATTCATAGTAAATACAAATTTTAATAAAAAATACACCAAAGTAAAATAATAATAATAATAAGAAAATATAATAATAAAATTAATAATAATAATAATAATAATAATAATAATAATAATAATAATAATAATAATAAAGAAATACAAGAAAGAAAAAAGAAAAAAAGTGAGAAACACGACCTAGACCTATGAATTATTGTTATTATTATAATTATTAGTGTTATTATATTTTCGCCTCCCAGGCCCCAATGTGGGTCAGTGACTTGTGCCCGGGTGGGCTAATACACATTAAGAAAAAAAACTAAAAAAAAAAAACTAACCATTCTGAAAACCGAAAAATTCTGAAATCCGAAATGCCTCTGGCCCCAAGGATTTCGGATAAGGGATTGTCAACCTGTAATGGTTCAAGTGCTGAGCCTTGGGGTACTCCATTAGTGAAGTTATCACAATCGGATTTAGTGCCGTTAATATTTACTCGCTGTTTTCTGTCCTGTAACCACGCCCTAATCCATTTTAGAATATCTCCTCCAATGCCATGAGCTTCTACTTTCTGTACTAGTCTTTCATGGGGAACTCTGTCGAAGGGTTTGTAAAAGTCGAGGTTTACCACATCATAATTGTGCCCCTCGTCCACTGATTCACAGACAGTCGAAAAGATTATTAATAGATTTGTCAGACATGAATGCCCACTTGTGAAGCCATGTTGGGAATCATTGATCAACTTGTGCTTCTCGAGGTGATTTTGAATAGAGTGAAAATATTGCTTCCAGCAGTTTGATGTAGTGATGATTGTACCATCCTTGTCTGCATCTCCACTGAGCAAAACTGTGTGGATTAAACATTTCATCTGCCATTGTGGGTCACTTCCTCACCTTGCCACCGAGGCGCAGTAGGCCAGCACCTTTGACAATTCCTTTATGTGTGAGAATTACAATATCATTGGCAAGCTTGGCCTGAATGGGTGATTAAGGTGAAATTGTTAAAAGGTTAAGATCACAGATGAACTGTGTACAGTACACCTAGTGTAGGGTCATTATGGGATTGAAACAGTAGATATTATTTATGCCTACAGTACTGCTATGGGAATTATTAACATTATAAATGTGGTTAAAAAATCTGCTACAGTGACCTCATGTATACCAAGCATGCCCTCACAAAATCAAGTTGTGGTGGAAATGCGAGAACAGATCCATTGGTTGCTGTGGGGTCAGTATGGTGACAAACTTTAGTTCATTACTTTGTTGTTTAAGGTATTTAATAAGATGTGATATACAGTACAGGACTACCTATAATGTACTGCATATTATGTTGTTTATCTGTGGAAGTCATGTATTAACAACTGCCATAATCTGTGTTTGGTGTTATTACTGTACTTTATTAATGGTATTTCAGAAAATGTTGTTGTTTTCCCAAGCCAAAACTGTGACTATACTTATGTTCACCCAAAATCCAAACTTCCCATCATAGAATCCTGGATCCGCCCCTGTGGAGGAAGCGAAGCCGTTGCCTATCATTTACGGACATTAGTCACTCGGAAACTGACCATCGAGTTGATTCATATTCATTTTGTAGTGAAAAGATTGATTTCTATAATCCAAATATAAATACTGTACAGAGTATACAGGAATTTGAACTCTGCTCAGTCCTAAGGAATTTAGTCTTAAGTGATCTTGTACTATTCTTTCTTACATACAATTGTTGTAGAAGATGCTAACTACTCAGGCAAATTAAGAACCTAATAAACTGTAAAGAATTGCAGGATGATCACTAACAACTTGAGGAGTAGTTAAAGTGATGGCTACTGAGGTTCACTGCCCCTTGGTTATACTGAGAGTCAGGAAGTTTATCATAACACTTAAAACTATACCTATGTGAAAAGGACCTTAGTGTTTATGTTGACAATGAATTCAACTTCTCATATTATGGTGAAGGTGAATCATCCTAATAAATTACTGTACTGTACACATACAATACTTATGTGCTCTGTCCCTCAGAAATCTTTCAAGAGCTTAGTGCTCCCCATTTAGAGTACAGTACAGTACAGTACAGTAATAATATTTTGTTCCAAAGATATTGTACAAAGTAGGTCTACCAAACCAGTGCTGGCTATCTCACACCTCAAGCTAAAAGAGATCAAACAATTTTCTGTTGCCTAGTTTATTATTATAAAAGGACGGGGATGATTTAATAGTTTATAAGCACTCGGTTTTCTGTACATACCTGGAGTTAGTGGATTGCCTCACTGCCCCACTAGAGGTTAAAGTCTGAACCTGATCAAGCTAACAGATAGAAAATTGTTAGAAAAATCTTGAGAGTTGTGAACTGTTGTAATAACCTGCCAGATAATGTTGTGGCAGCACCAAGTGGGAGCCCCTTTAAAACCAGACGTGACTAACACTGGTACATGCTAGGTCCATTCAAGTACCCATACCTGACCAGTACAGTGCTTGTCAACAGTACATTAAGAGAATTGAATACCCATATGACCAACTAGTAAGCTGACCAGGGGCAGAGATGACTAGTCTTGTAATAGTAAATAATAACAGTTCTTCCTGATCTTAAGAAAAGTACTGAAAAATAAATCATTATTGTATTTTATATAAAGTTATTGATTGGTAATGTGTATCAGTTCCAACCTAAGCTTCATAACAAATAATATATTTTAAGTTAACTCTTGGTTGGTATTGGTTCCTGTATTTTGACTAAAGAAAAAGAGTGTCTGTGAAGAAGGGAACCATTTAACTTGTTTACTACAATACCATCATGTTTATAATTATTTTCCCATACAACAATTATTTGTAAATCTTGCAGGGATGGGCGTGTTGATGACCCTCTCAGGCATCCCTGTGTACCTGGCAGGAGTCCTGTGGAACACCAAGCCACACTGGCTCAGGAAAATCCATGGTAAGACCTACACATGTTTCTCTGGTCATGTATTGCCCATTGTTACGTGTTTACATTTTGTAGAAGATCGCTCACACATATATTTTGTAGTAGATCGCTCGCACATATGTTTTGTAGTAGATCGCTCACACATATATTTTGTAGTAGATCGCTCACACATATATTTTGTAGTAGATCGCTCGCACATATGTTTTGTAGTAGATCGCTCACACATATATTTTGTAGTAGATCGCTCACACATATTTTGTAGTAGATCGCTCGCACATATGTTTTGTAGTAGATCGCTCGCACACATATTTTGTAGTAGATTGCTCGCTCATATATTTGTAGTTTTAACGTTGGTTGATATTTTGAGTTATCATTCTGTAACAATAAGCAGCTGTAGGGAGAGCTGAGAGGAGTGTTGCCTCAGGTTTTCTCCATGTTTGGTGGTCATCCAGTATGGTGACGGTGGATCACATGAATACTCTAAACACAGTGTCTAGGTTATGCGGTATTCCCATTTAAATGAGTTGATCTTTTATTTCTTAACACAAGAACATTACAATAGTTACACAACCAACAAGCACAATATTCAGTAAATAATGTAGGTATTGGTGGTGAGTGAGTGGGGCACTTGAAGGTGTAGCATTAGTCACCAACATGTTTGAGTGGCACTGCACCTCCATTTTTAATATATTATTGATTAATTCTCAAGTATATTTATGCTTAACCAAATAATCAGTTAAATATCTGTTTACTCAACATATTGTCATGCCGAGGCATATTTTAGTGTTATAATGTTTGGAAACTGTTGTCTAATGGTAGATCCTGCTGCCTTATGTAACCAAGTCCCAGGTTGCTGATCTGACTTTCTGCCTCATTTACACTCAATTACTGGGTCTCAATTGTTTCTCTGACAACACAACACAACACAGCATACATATATTGTTTCTCACTATTGATTTTTTTTTTTTTTGTATTTCTTTATGGTTCTTTATTATTATTATTAGTGTTGTTATTATTATTGTTATCATTATTATTATTTTTATTTTTGTATTTTTTATTATAAATTTTACTGATCTGAATTATTATTATTATTATTATTATTATTATTATTATTATTATTATTATTATTATTATTATTATTATTATTATTATTATTATTATTGTTGTTATTATTATTATTTATTATTGTTATTATTATTATTACATTTTCACCCCCCAGGCCCTGATGTGGGTCAGTGACCTGTGCCCGGGTGGGCTAATACCTGTAAAAAAAAAACTCGGTGATTTGATTGTTTTCTGTCTCATGCATCAGTTATTTTGGCAAACTTAGGGAGATATTCTTGTATATATTGATGTGTTGCTTTTGTAAGAATATTCTAGAATGTATTGCATCATTTTTTTTATGATTTACTTCTTATTGTTAGCCTCGATCAGAGACGTATATAAACACCCGCGAGCGGCATAGAGGCAGCCAACTGTTTGTGCTTAGAGTGTAAAGTACAGCAAGCCGAGTAAGTCAGCTGAAGATAATTGTTGTGCAAGTACTGAAGTGAACAATATAGTATAGTGAGAAGACTAAGGAGTTGTACACTGGTAGTGTGTTGACTATGTATTGGAAGTCAGAGGTCCAGCTGTGAAGACATTACCCTGTTAACAGAACTACTGTTTATTAAGGTAGACCACAGTGCACAAGTGTGCTTCTGTGACCTGGTGGAAATCTACCTGCCTGTTGTTTGTCTGTACATTGATACCGATCATCGGGAAGTTACCGGAGACTGGCGGGACAGCCAGTGGTAATTTGACAATTCTTGTGAGATATCTACTGCTTCTGTACATATGACCCTGACCGCTGGTAACCAGTGGTGGAAGGTGGGTAAGTGGTGAAAGGAGGAAGGTCATAACAGTATTTATAATACAGTGGTTGGTTATTCTTTGAAACATTAATACAGCTCCTCCCTGACTTACGACGGGGTTAGGCACCCAAATCCAGGTCGTAAGTCGAAAATGCTTAAATAGTACATAGAAAATCTAAAATGGGTGTCTCTCTTTCTTCTCAGCACCACAAAACTCTCACTTTTAAGCTTGCCAGCCATTTTAAAGTGAATTACCAACGAAAATTTTCTCTGTGTATTGACGTTGGGACTCAAAAATATGTAATTTGACAAAATTTTGGTACGACTGAGGCAGGTCGTAAGTGCAAATGGTCGTAAGTGGAGTAGGTCATAAGTCGGGGAGGAGCTGTATACATCATTGTTTATCTCCATACTGTTCTCATGATCAGTGTTATTAAAATCTTTGCTCATACAGGTTCTGTATATGGAAAAAATTCTTCCTGTTTTTCCTAATTTTCATATTGTTTGGTCAGTCTATCACTTGTCTCCTCATTTACTTATTTATTAACTTTATACATTTAACTTATTTCTGTATATTCATCTATTTTCATATTGTTTAGTTCTTCTCCTGTTTATAATTGTTGAACGCAAGTTATGAGTTTGTTTTACTTACAGAGGAGACAACATACCTCTTACAAAGGGTGTTGTTAGTGGTGGCCACAGAGCAGCAGTCCAGCGACCCTCTCTTGTGTCCCACTGACCATGATCATTGAGGTCTTGACAATGAGGAGGAGAAGTAGAGGTGGAAGAGGAGAAGAAAAGAGAAGATGTGGAGGAGGAGGAAAAGTGAAGGAGAAAGAGTAAGAGGAGAAAGGAAGGATAGAAGGTAAGAGAAGAGACGTGTTTGGTGATGATGCAGCTATTGTCGGGTTATGTGTACTACTGAAGACAGCCATTAAGGGCTCTAACACCAGCCTGATGAAGGAGCGAAGTACATGAAGGAGGAGGACAGCCATGAGGTGCACACAGAGGGGTATAAGTTGTGGTCATGAATTAGGTGGTAGTGAGGAAGATGATGATGGGAGGAGATATAAGGGAAATGTGAAGTTAATGTGAAAAGGGGAAATAAGTATAAGAGTGAGAAGCCAAATGGTGAGGTTAGAATTAAACAAAACACAACTGACGCAATTTTGACTTCCTGTGTCATGAAGAAAAACTGACCACATATCCTATTGATTATATTTTAAAGAATCCTCAAAGCCCTGATGGAAAGTAAGTGATCAAAATGTTATATAGGCCATTGTGAGTGTAGGTATTTATTTTATTCACATTAAACTATATACAGTGAACCCTCGAAGATCTGGACTAAATGGGGGGACCACCTGTCCAGAAATGCCAATTGTCCGAATCTTCCGGCTAATAATAAATGATATAAGAAACACCCAAAATACAGCACTAATGTAGTGATAAACAAATTACTGTATATAAACCATGACTTTACCTGTGATAACATAATAAGAAACATTGTATCATTACTAGAGTCAATGAAATAATATTACCACAAACAACAACTGTTTATGTTTCCCACCTCCTCGGGCACCAAGCAACTGATGGGTCAAGCAGCGCCCTCAGACCTAAAATGTTCTTTGCTCTGGTTTGGTAATGTTTCTTGGGGAAACTTCTAGGAGGCTTCTTAGCCCAGAACCCCCAAATTTTTTACCGGATCTTCCAAAATTCGTATTTCCCAGGTCCGAATCTTCGATGGTTTACTGTATATATACAGTCGACCCTCGTTAATTCGGACCCCTTTAATCCGGATTTCGGATAATTCGGACAAAATCTGAACGAACTTTTTTTTTTTTTTTTGTAGGAATATTACCTACGCGGACCTTAAGCTAAAATGCTGGTCCACCCACTGCTGGGATAAAACACCAGCGTCTTTTTGGTTAAATGTAACATCTCCACCACTAGTGTGGTGGAGGGGGGGATGCAACTTTTAGCTTCAGACATGAAAAATATTTACCATTTACTGCCAGTAAACAATGGAAACATAAAATATGTACCAATTAGTAATGAAAAGTTGTGCAGTTCCTTCAGCAAATGAAGCTCACCAACTTACAATAGGCTAAATTACCTTACAACGTGCTTTCAGTAGTCTATGTTGAAGTTCTTAGCACAGGCTAACTTATCATATCATATACGGTATCACAGTTCTCATTGATCTACAAAAAATACCGGTAATAAAAACCTTTTCGATATTTCACACTTAATATAATACCCGGTAATCTACTTCAACCTCCTATTGTTTACAACGACGCATGACGCACCACCAGCTGTTGAGTATCAGCTAGACGGCACACGTGTTTTTCGAATCATTTTCAGTTAAAAAACTGTTACATCACACGTATATTTTACCTTAACTGTGCCTGAATGAATATATTTTCGGAAATAAATAGTAGTTTTGCTGAAACGTGATGTATTTTAATGTAAAATAGGATAAAATGCATGACGAAAACAAAAGATTTTACCGAACCTTCCTATGTTCAAGAGAAGTTACTCGTTTTTGTAATAGTTTTCGGTTAAAATACTGTTGTATTACTTTTACTTTTACTTTTATCCTCTTCGCAACTGATCGGCTTGTTAGCCGCTTGGGCGATCGGTCACTTCTCTTTTCCTTTTCATACTGTGCTTAATATAATACATTCACGGAAATGTAATATTTTTGCTGAAATGACGTACGTATTACAGTGGAAAGTGGGATAAAATCGTGACGAAAACAATGACTTTGAAATATAATGCAATATTAACCCCTAAATCGGTTAATTTGGACAATCGGCTAAAACGGACACCTTTCACCCCCATTAGTCCGAATTAACAAGGGTCGACTGTAATGTTGTAAAACTGTTCTGTCCAAGATCATAATAATACATCCAGTGCATAATGCAGGAAATTATGTTGTGGTAGAGATGATGATGTTTAGAATGTTCCTGTGAAGTGTATGTTGATGTAAACAACATACAGTATATATATATATATATATATATATATATATATATATATATATATATATATATATATATATATATATATATATATATATATATATATATATATATATATATATATATATATATATGCCATGTATCTTAATAATGCCTGAATGTGAAGTTTATGTGTGACACAAGTACAGCATCAGTGTTTTAGTGAGTGCCTCTATTTATAACTTGTATGTTTGTCGGTCCAACTTGTAATATTTGTGTGTGAAGCCTTGGTAAACATAACATGGAGCTGAGATACAGTAATTATTCCCACCATTAGTCTGGGTGTAGGGTGCCACACACTGAGTTATTTCTTTACTGTACTCTCTGATATTAAGTAGATACACTTGCAGTACCAGATGAGCTCTCAGGAACACTACTGCTTCTCCTCAACACTCTGGAGGGCTGTACTTGTGCTGCTGCCTTATAGTTATGCTGTACCACAACTGCTCATTGTATAACAAACACTACAGTTCTGTTTACTGTACTGTAAATTTTAAGAAAATTTAGACATATTTTTGGTCAACTGAGAACCTGGGGTGAAATTCACTAAATTTAGCAGAACAATGTGTTTTATGAAGCACTTGAGAGATACACAGTATTGTTTGTGTTATAAACTGCCTGCCTCATGTACTGTTGTTCATAACTTAATAGCCTCATGATGAACATTTAAACATCAAGCTTGGAATCTGTGAAATCTGAATTAAAGTTAAATGATTATATTATTGAAAACACAGTCACTGTAAGACACCATCATTATATACAATACCTTTGTAAAGATTAAATACACAATGATAATATAATTACTGAAACTTTTAAAATATATTCACAGATCAAATTGATATGACTCTTGAGTTAGTTTGTTTACTTGGGACATTTATATAACGATCACTTGTATTAACATATTAATAACTTTAATAAAGTACTCTTCGCCTACTGAAGGCTTAGTGATGATTATCTTGTAAATTGTTGTACCTATGTTATACTGTACTGGTGAAAGGTACAGTACACTACAGTATAGTACAGTACACTACAGTATAGTACAGTACACTACAGTATAGTACAGTACACTACAGTATAGTACAGTACACTACAGTACACTACAGTATAGTACAGTACCATATAGTACACTACAGTATAGTACACTACCGTACAGTACATTACAGTATAGTACAGTACACTACAGTATAGTACAGTACACTACAGTACACTACAGTATAGTACAGTATATTACAGTATACTACAGTACAGTACACTACAGTATAGTATAGTACAGTATTGAACAGTACAGTACAGTATAGTACAGAACGGTATAGTACAGTACACTACAGTATAGTACAGTACAGTATAGAACAGTACAGTCCAGTATAGTACAGAACAGTATAGTACAGTACACTACAGTTTATTACAGTACACTACAGTACAGTACATGACAGTATAGTTAAGTACAGCATAGAACAGTACAGTACAGTATAGTACAGAACAGTATATTACAGTATATTACAGTACAGTACACTACAGTATAGTACACTACCGTACAGTACATTACAGTATAGTACAGTACACTACAGTATAGTACAGTACACTACAGTACACTACAGTATAGTACAGTATATTACAGTATACTACAGTACAGTACACTACAGTATTGTACAGTACAGTATAGAACAGTACAGTATAGAACAGTACAGTATAGTACAGAACAGTATAGTACAGTACACTACAGTATTGTACAGTACAGTATAGAACAGTACAGTATAGGACAGTACAGTATAGTACAGTACACTACAGTATAGTACTACAGTATAGTACAGTACACTACAGTATAGTACAGTACACTACAGTATAATTAGTACACAGTACAGTACACTACAGTACAGTACATTACAGTACACTACAGTATAGTGCAGTACACTACAATATAGTACAGTACAGTATATTACAGTACAGTATAGGACAGTATAGTACAGTACAGTATAGTACAGTACAGTATAGTACAGTACACTACATTATAGTGCAGTACACTACAGTACATTACAGTATAGTACAGTACACTACAGTAAAGTACAGTACAGTCTAGTACAGTACACTACAGTATAGTACAGTACACTACAGTACACTACAGTATAGTACAGTATATTACAGTATACTACAGTACAGTACACTACAGTATAGTATAGTACAGTATTGAACAGTACAGTACAGTATAGTACAGAACGGTATAGTACAGTACACTACAGTATAGTACAGTACAGTATAGAACAGTACAGTCCAGTATAGTACAGAACAGTATAGTACAGTACACTACAGTTTATTACAGTACACTACAGTACAGTACATGACAGTATAGTTAAGTACAGCATAGAACAGTACAGTACAGTATAGTACAGAACAGTATATTACAGTATATTACAGTACAGTACACTACAGTATAGTACAGTATAGAACAGCACAGTACAGTATAGTACAGTATAGTACAGTACACTACAGTATTGTACAGTACAGTATAGAACAGCACAGTACAGTATAGTACAGAACAGTATAGTACAGTACACTACAGTATTGTACAGTACAGTATAGAACAGTACAGTATAGAACAGTACAGTATAGTACAGAACAGTATAGTACAGTACACTACAGTATTGTACAGTACAGTATAGAACAGTACAGTATAGGACAGTACAGTATAGTACAGTACACTACAGTATAGTACACTACAGTATAGTACAGTACACTACAGTATAGTACAGTACACTACAGTATAGTACAGTACACTACAGTACAGTACATTACAGTACACTACAGTATAGTGCAGTACACTACAATATAGTACAGTACAGTATATTACAGTACAGTATAGGACAGTATAGTACAGTACAGTATAGTACAGTACAGTATAGTACAGTACACTACATTATAGTGCAGTACACTACAGTACATTACAGTATAGTACAGTACACTACAGTAAAGTACAGTGCAGTCTAGTACAGTACACTACAGTACAGTACACTACAGTATAGTACAGTACACTACAATATAGTACAGTACAGTATAGTACAGTACAGTATAGAACAGTACAGTATAGGACAGTACAGTATAGTACAGTACACTACAGTATTGTACAGTACAGTATAGAACAGTACAATATAGTACAGCATAGTACACTACAATACACTACAGTATAATATACTACAGAACAGTACAGCATAGTACAGTACACTACAGTACAGTACACTACAGTACAGCATAGTTCAGTACAGTACAGTACACTACAGTACACTACAGTATCATACAGTACAGTACAGTACAGTATAGTTTAGTATAGTACAGTACAGTACACTACAGTATAGTACAGTATCATACAGTACACTACAGTACAGTACACTACAGTACAGCATAGTTCGGTATAGTACAGTACAGTACACTGCAGTATAGTACAGTATCGTACAGTACACTACAGTATAGTACAGTACAGTACACTACAGTATACTACAGTATAGTTCAGTATAGTACAGTACAGTACACTACAGTATAGTACAGTATCATACAGTACACTACAGTACAGTACACTACAGTACAGCATAGTTCGGTATAGTACAGTACAGTACACTGCAGTATAGTACAGTATCGTACAGTACACTACAGTACAGTATACTTCAGTATAGTTCAGTACAGTACACTACAGTATAGTACACTACAGTACAGTACACTACAGTATAGTACAGTATCGTACAGTACACTACAGTACAGTTCAGTATAGTACAGTACAGTACAGTACACTACAGTACAGTACACTACAGTATAGTACACTACAGTACAGTACACT